CTGCGAGGCCGACTCATTATACATCTGGCAGAAGACCGCGCCTATGAAAAAAAATAGTTCCACAGTTCAGCTTGCAATTACGAGTTCGCGTTTTAAGCAACGTGATTTTAATATCACGGAAGCTGGTTCGTAAGTCGGGCGTTCGTAAGTCGGGAGTTCGTAAGTCGGGCGTTCGTAAGTCGGGAGTTCGTAAGTCGGAGTTCGTAAGTCGAGGACTGTGTTGTATCCTTTGTCGACACTGGTGGGAGTGAAAGCCAAGTATTCTATTTGAGTTGGAAAACCCAGGGTTGTCTACTCACCTGGAATTACACAACTCGTCAAGGCTAAAACTTCCTCCACATCGCAAATGTGTAATGAATGAAGAGCACTGGCAACTCGCTTAATGTCCCGACAATGAAATAGCTTGGAAGGCGAGTGCTGTATTCTAGTATGGAGGCGAGGACGCGCCAAGGCAAAGGAGGGAGACTTGCATTGTGCACGTCAAATGTACCTATGTGCTGGGGTAGGAGGTAGGGAGGGGGGGGTTGGCTAACATTTGCGTATCTTTGTGCTTTGGTTGCAGTTAAACTACCCACACACACAGAGACGTACAGACACACGCGCGCGAACACACGCATGCGGAATTTTCACGCTGCAGCGCTTTGTGTAGCACAGCGAGCAAGAGTGCTCCATCTTGTGCTGTGGGCCAGAGTTTGTGCTGCTGAAGCGTCGGTGCAGGTGTCACTCCTGTCGTTCCATTCACGAGTTGCTTAATTAATTACTTTGTTTACAAAGTGGTAGAGGTAAAGCTGCAGCCCTGCAATTGCTTAGCTCTGCCCACTGCTAGCGGGAGTGCCTCTACTTGAGGGAACTCAAGAGGTAGCCCCCCTCTAGAAGAGATTTTGACCGACTCTTCCACTCTGGCCAAGATGCAAGATGTATTGGAAGAAGTTTGGAATTACCCACACTTTACCCCACAAAACGTGACTTGCCAATCGACTGACTATGGTGCACACATTGGTAATGCTGTATGCCCAGAGCTGGGGGACTTTGTTTATTTGGAAATTATTAAAGAGACATTGCATATGTATTTCGGACAATGATGAATTGAAAGCTTTAGTTGTTAAATCAGGAAGATAGGTTGACGATTAACAAAATTGCAGATGTGTTTTTCACAAGTAATATTATTTTATACCACCGTAATAATACATATTTTGAATAATAATGTTTCCATATAGTTTCAGAAAGACACCAGTAAATGAGAAATACTACAAAAAATGAACCCAAGCCATCTTGACATCTCTCTTAATCAGTGATGGATATAGTGAGGGAAAAAAGTATATGATCCCCTGCTGATTTTGTACGTTTGCCCACTGACAAAGAAATGATCAGTCTATAATTTTAATGGTAGGTTTATTTGAACAGTGAGAGAATAACAACACAAAAATCAAGAAAAACGCATGTCAAAAATGTTATAAATTGATTTGCATTTTAATGAGGGAAATAAGTATTTGACCCCTCTGCAAAACATGACTTAGTACTTGGTGGCAAAACCCTTGTTGGCAATCACAGAGGTCAGACGTTTCTTGTAGTTGGCCACCAGGTTTGCACATATCTCAGGAGGGATTTTGTCCCACTCCTCTTTGCAGATCTTCTCCAAGTCATTAAGGTTTCGAGGCTGACGTTTGGCAACTCGAACCTTCAGCTCCCTCCACAGATTTCCTATGGGATTAAGGTCTGGAGACTGGCTAGCCCACTCCAGGACCTTAATGTGCTTCTTCTTGAGCCACTCCTTTGTTGCTTTGGCCGTGTGTTTTGGGTCATTGTCATGCTGGAAAACCCATCCACGACCCATTTTCAATGCCCTGGCTGAGGGAAGGAGGTTCTCACTCAAGATTGGACGGTACATGGCCCCGTCCATCGTCCCTTTGATGCGGTGAAGTTGTCCTGTCCCCTTAGCAGAAAAACACCCCCAAAGCATAATGTTTCCACTTACATGTTTGACGGTGGGGATGGTGTTCTTGGGGTCATAGGCAGCATTCCTCCTCCTCCAAACACGGCGAGTTGAGTTGATGCCAAAGGGCTCCATTTTGGTCTCATCTGACCACAACACTTTCACCCAGTTGTCCTCCGAATCATTCAGATGTTCATTGGCAAACTTCAGACCGGCATGTATATGTGCTTTCTTGAGCAAGGGGACCTTGCGGGCGCTGCAGGATTTCAGTCCTTCACGGCGTAGTGTATTACCAATTGTTTCTTGGTGACTATGGTCCCAGCTGCCTTGAGATCATTGACAAGATCCTCCCGTGTAGTTCTGGGCTGATTCCTCACCGTTCTCATGATCATTGCAACTCCACGAGGTGAGATCTTGTATGGTGCCCCAGGCCGAGGGGAGATTGACAGTTCTTTTGTGTTTCTTCCATTTGCGAATAATCGCACCAACTGTTGTCACCTTCTCACCAACCTGCTTGGCAATGGTCTTTGTAGCCCATTCCAGCCTTGCGTAGGTCTACAATCTTGTCCCTGATATCCTTGGAGAGCTCTTTGGTCTTGGTCATGGTGGAGAGTTTGGAATCTGATTGATTGATTGCTTCTGTGGACAGGTGTCTTTTATACAGGTAACAAGCTGAGATTAGGAGCACTCCCTTTAAGAGTGTGCTCCTAATCTCAGCTCGTTACCTGTATAAAAGACACCTGGGAGCCAGAAATCTTTCTGATTGAGAGGGGGTCAAATAATTATTTCCCTCATTAAAATGCAAATCAATTTATAACATTTTTGACATGCGTTTTTCTGGATTTTTGTTATTATTATTCTGTCTCTCACTGTTCAAATAAACCTACCATTAAAATTATAGACTGATCATTTCTTTGTCAATGGGCAAACGTACAAAATTAGCAGGGGATCAGATACTTTTTTCCCTCACTGTAAGCAATGCTGTTTGTCAGTTGTGTGATGGGTTTATCAGACTCTAGTCAGTGTGTTTTACAAATGGAATGGACTAACACACACACAATCACAAGTAGAGTGACACGATGACCTGGTAACAAAAAAAAACCAGTAAGATAAACAAGCTCTGTTTCCTGAATGGAGCCTCATTTTTAAAATTACATGGCTCGCATATATTTTTTTTACTTGCCTTGAAACCCTCTCCATACCAAACCCCCACTCCTGCCAATCCAGGCGCCACTCGTCACACATTACAGAATGTAGAAATTTGTTTCCTGGATATTTGTTTAAATTTGCCCTGGTATGCATGTGCTTTCATAAATCAAGTTGTTTATAATTGTATTACAGTACTTAAGTTAAATACAATGTGTTGACTGCTCATTGCTTGTTGTTAAAAGGCCCAGACCATTTCCACATTTCTGCGTACCAGTTGATATTTTTCCATACATTTTTCAACTTATGTCATATTAATTACTTTAAAAAACACACACAGCACATATCTATATTTTCAAGTAGAGCATGGATTCATGTTCAGTATCACAATACTATGTAATCACCATTAAATCATTTTTAAACAAATCTTAAATAAAATTGCGATGCAGTATAAATTACATTAGATATCTCTAGACATAAATTGCACTTGAATAATATCTTGAGTTGCTCGTGTGACACAAGTAGCAGTGTATGCCACATGCATTTTATTGTAATGAGTGTAAATGGGATTGGTGATAATCTGAATAGTCTGTCATTATTTCAAAAAATATATATTCAGTGGATGACAAATGCATCTTACAACTAAATCATTGGATTACGTGTTTTGTAGATGGATTTCCTCAAGGCAGGCTTGGTTTGAGTTAGCAGTTAGGACCTTGCTATACATTAAATCCGTTCTTGTTTAACATATTCTCTGATGGCCCTGATCCATCTAGTTGCCAGGTTTTTTTCTCTTACCTTTTCCCCTATGATATTTTTATCTTCATATTGCCTTACAATCTGTCTCTACCACAGGATTGTGTTTGGATGTTGCCCAAAAGAATGCTTCATGCCAAACACGCATTCATGGGATTGGCCAAACATCCACATGTAGCAGGACACTCCTGAAAAATAAGTCTTGAGAGTCAGTGAGGATTTCCTGAACAAAGGGCATAATCATATTCTTAGCTCTTTCGGTAAAGTCACGTTGAAGGGAAACAATAAAATAATAATATATATAAAACAATAAAAATTCTCACGACGTTTCGACCATAACACAAACGGTCATCATCAGGTGTGCCGTTGCTTTTCACACCTGATGACGACCGTTTGTGTTATGGTCGAAACGTCGTGAGAATTTTTATTGTTTTATATATATTTTATTATTTTGTTGTTTCCCTTCAACGTGACTTTACCGAAAGAGCTAAGAATATGAATTACTGAAGTCACGAAAGCTTTAAATCAAAATTTAAAGGGCATAATCCTCAAAGAATTAGTCTCAATGCATTAATACAAAATATAAGAAATATATAAAGACAAAAAATTTAAAATATATACCACAGAATATTGAAAATATTTTTTCTGATTAAAACCCCATAAAAGCATGATTGTGGATTTTGTGCTGTTGTTTGGTAGAGAATGATACTCATAAATATTTTAAAAATCAATCAAATTCAATTAGTTTTCTACAAAGTTGTTTTGTGAATTAGAGGAATGTAGGAGGAAGACATTTGCCCAATACAATGTAAACTTTTTACGAAATGAAAATAAAACTACGCGGAAAAATGTACGTAACTAAAAATATAGCTGATGAGTTTGTAATAAAAAAATGCATCCATTTATATTAATATGAAATACAGTATGCCTCTGTGTTATTCCTCATGATTCCAAAATAATGTCATGTATTACAGGATTACGATTTATTTTCACAGACTAACACAGTTTATTTAGACAAAAAGAAATCATATCACCAATATCTCCCATCCTTATGTTTACGTTTGTTTTAAGCATGTCTGAAGAGTTACGTTCAATGAACGATTCTGAATTATTTTATGAAACAAACATTGGGTGAGGTTTTATTTTTCTTACCGTTATGTTTCAGATCTCTGAGGATATCGAGGTGCCAAGTCAAACCCTCTTCGATGCTGCTGATAACCACAGAGCCACACATAATGATGGGATGCATCTCTCCAGTCGAGCTCATCCTCCTGCTGCTCGTGACTGTGCCGACCCTCGCCTGCCCATCTGCATGCCGCTGTAATGGAGACTTCGTCTACTGCAACGACAGAGGCTTAGCGTCTATTCCAAGTGGAATGCCAAGGAACGCCACGACACTCTATCTCCAAAACAACCAAATTAACAATGCTGGGATTCCACCTGAAATGAGAAACCTTCTCAAAGTCGAGACGGTGTATCTCTACAGCAACCGACTGGAGGAGTTTCCCATCAATCTTCCTAGAAATGTGAGAGAACTTCACTTGCAGGAAAATGGCATGTGGACCATTTCCAAGGGTCCCCTCACTCAGTTACGCAAACTGGAAGTTCTGCACTTAGATGACAACTCGATATCAACAGTGGGGATTGAGAAAGGTAGTTTTAGTGCAGTGCCAAATCTTAGGCTGCTATTTTTTTCCCGTAATAATTTAGGTATGGTACCTGAAAACCTGCCAAAGAATCTGGAGGAACTGCGGTTAGATGATAACAGGATAGAAACGATATCTGCAAAGGCTCTGCTGAACCTAAGCAAGCTGAAACACCTGTTTCTGGATGGAAACTTGCTGACTAATGAAGGAATCCATGAAAAGACCTTTAACGATCTTGTGAACTTGACGGAAATCTCCTTCACTCGGAATATGCTTAAAATTCCAGTGGCTAACTTGCCAAGAATGAACCTGCAAAAACTCTTTCTCCAGGAAAACAGAATAATGTACATTCCAATCAACATATTTTCATCCCTGAAAAGGCTCAGTGTTCTTGATCTTTCAAACAATCAACTACAAACCTTGCCATATGGCGCTTTGAATGGACTACAAGGACTGAGATTTCTCGGTGTGCGAAACAACCCGTGGTACTGTGATTGTAAAGTCCTCTGGCTAAAAGACTGGCTACGCATCAATGCCGTGAATGCGCAGGGGCTTATCTGCAAAGGGCCAGGCGGCAATAAAGGAATACATATCACAGATCTGCCTCCCGAGCATTTTTTTTGCCCAGCCACCACCACAGCTGCTGTAGCTCCAAGTCACACTGCAGGGGTGACCACGTTCACAGTCGGAGGTCCGTTGTTGATTCTCAGAACCCCGTTGCCCTTTGCTACAACTAAAAGCAATATTTTTAGCTCAGTCACAAGCAGACCGACCACATGGAAAGACACTACAGCTGACATTGTCCTTAAAGTGTCATCGGTGAGTGAGGACACGATTGCTGTAATCTGGGACAACCCATTTCCAGTGGAGTCATATAAATTGAGTTTGAAAAAATCCGACAAAAATGTTGGGACTGTCACAATGATTAACATCGTCAGTGGTGATAGGACACTGCACTTGTTTAAGGACTTACATCCAATGACTTTGTACAAAATCTGCTTGGAACCTCTGGTCAATAGAAACGTTTTTGATCTTGACAAAACTCCGACCTGTTTGGAAACAAAAACAGCAGATTCTGCACTTCCCAATCTTACCGATAGCATGAACCAAGAGCAAGAGATGGATAATGGTCATGGCTCGGCCCTGAAACTTGCTGGCCTCATAGGAGGTAGTTCAGTAATTCTTCTCATTGTGCTGATTTTGGGAATCTGCTGCTGGTACTCCCACAAATCTGGAAAGGGCCCGTGGTCTCGGGACACCTACAAGAAAGGTCGGAAGAGGGAGAGTGAGTACATGGAGTCGGGAACGAAGAAGGACAATTCTATTTTGGAGATGAGCGAAAACTCATTTCAGATTGTTCACTTAAATGAAACTATGGGGGATGATTTATCGATGAAAAATGGTTTACCCAACAGAACAGGAACTGGCTATAAAGGCACTTTGGCCCAAATAAATAACACTGTTTTAATAGACAGTACCTTATTGGACAGAGATTATTTTCAGAGACATACATAACTAACAAGCAACAATAGAAGAGACTTTACGTGTCGAACACTTTTTGCACAACATATTTATTGCACTTTTATTGCCGATTGAAACATGACACAGTGTTTTGACGTATCAGGATGTTCAACGTGTACAGGTATTTGTGTTCAGCGTCACAACTGTGATTACGGCGTTTTGCAATTAAATGGTATTTTGTTTCCGATTACCACCACAACATGATATACTTTTCTGCCTACATTTTTTTTAGAAGTCATAATTGTTGTTCCTTGTGTATGGGAAATATCTTACATGATGATATAACATGCGCTCCTTTTATATGTGCCTCTTTTACTAATTTCACATGACGATACAATGGACAAACTGTAAATGAAAAAAGCTGTACAAATTTACTGCATATTAACTGAAAAGTACTGGGAACTTGAACAGTTTCAAATAGGAATTATTTATAACCGTTTTAAAATGTGTACATAATAGTGTAATGCATGCCTCTTTGGACAACAGCAGTTGAAAAAATAAATGTCCGGTAGTAGTGAAATAATTAAAAGCATTGGAAATGCTTACATGTAATTGTTACATGTTCCTTTTGTAATAAAAAATGAGTACATAGTAGACGCATGGGTTGCCACTCATTGTATTGATGTGGGCAGTGGTGGTGTGAGTCCATTGAGGGCCCCTAAGCAGACATTATTTTGGGGGAAGGCCCTCTTTCAATTTGTAAATCCTAGTGAGATGACATAAGAGATATGGACAGATATGGACGTAATAAGATAGGGGAAAATATACAAAAGAGAGATGCAGACAAGATAGAGATGACAGAGATTAATTGGGGTGTTATGTTAATTATAATGTTATGTTAATTCTGATTTAATTTCAGCTGCCATATAATACACCTTCATTTTTTCATGAATCCAAGGCCCTTTGAGCTTCTTGGGGCCCTTAAGATTTGGCTTGGTTTGCTTATGCCTCGCACAACTTTTGGATGCGGGCCCTGGCAATGGTATTAAAAGATAGGTGGGGGGACTGGATGGAAGGAACCCGGTTTGGGTGAACTACTGGCTGCGGGAGGTCCCGAGAGGGAGGTTGGAGGATCTGTTGGTGGAGTAATGCATGGCACTGTGCTTTGATGCTTGCCACGTTAGCAAATGGTGCACACATTGCCACAGACGTCCCATTGTCATAACAAGTCCACTCCCCCACAACCTCCGAGTTCAACTCCTTCAAAGTGTTCTTTTTTTAAAGCGTGCATGTGAAAAACACGGCAGAGGGTCATACATAACCGTAAAAAACGTGTTATTTTAACTACAAATAAAATGTGAACAGCTGTGTTGGCAATAATGCAGAATCCCTTGATGAAAATACAACTGCTGCTGATCTAAACCTGGTCACAAAGTGCTTTTCAAATCCCAAAGTATTTTTAAGGAACCGCAAAGTAAAATGTTGCCACTATCTTTTGCCGTTAGTTTAAAAGCTGTGAAGAAGGAGCATTCCATGAAACACTGCAATACATTTTCAGTGATTCAGTATTTTTGTCCTGTTATGTAACAAGAGAGGGGGAGTGGTGGCGCCGTGGTTAGCATACTGCGCTATAAACCTGACTGTTCGTGTTCGAATCGCGGCCACGGGCGAACATAAGTAGCACGTGATATCTGAACTAATCCTTTTTTACGGTACGTAGCCAACCTGAAGTACATTCAAACAATCCCCATGACTGACAATGCATGTGAAGGCCTTCACCTAGTAGTGGATTAACAAAGGGTCGTGCATCTGGATTCCTGTATATATTTTTTTACAATAAGGTACACAGATCTGTTTGTAACTTTCTCATAGAAGACAACGATCAAAATTGGTGGCACGAGTATTCTAGATAACTGTGTAGCTAATACAAAACACATGAGAAAACAACAGTTCTGAGCATTGCTTGAAGATTGTACATTGCACAGCGTGAACCTGTGCGTTCAGTGCAGGTGGGTTACTTCACATGTGCGGCGAAATGTCTTGTGGGTAAAGCAGTCTTTCCGTGAGACACTCTTTTTTCAGAGATTGCCACTGACCTCCTGTCATCTCCGTTGATGAGATTGTATTATAGTGCACAGCAATATTGAAAAGAGACGGATTTCTGCCAGTTGCCTGTCTGCAGCTGGTGGCTTAGCATAATGGATGAAATGGAATTTGTGCAGGCGGAACGGATTGGCCTTTCATTCATTACAATAGGGATTACATTTTGATAAAATCTTTACATTATATATTAGATTGTACAGCCTGAACTGTTGCCACTTGAAGTGTGAAATGTCTAGATTTGTCATATGCAGACATACTATTTTATTCAAACTGGAGTCTCTACATTGTTTTTTTTTCTGTTGAGAAAGTTTAATATTCACAATGTATCTGCGTGTGGCTAGATTTACTTTTATTATTTGTTTTTTGTCAAAGTTTTTAAAATTTGGCAGGACTTAAGTTATATTTGCAAATGCGTGTGAGTGACAATAAGCAGTGTTAATTTTGAAGGCGTATTTCAATATTACAGAAAGGTGTGTTTTTTATTGTCATTTCTTACTTGCTATCTACAACATGATACAGTATACGCGTAATGATATTTAGTGTTTAAACATTATTTGGATGTGCAATTCCCACGACACCATCACTCATATTTAACATGAACATACGTGATTTTGGAAATTATATTTCAGTTTTTATTAATACCAAGATGAAGTGTTTTCAAAGAAGACGTTTTTGTGTTTTCAAAGCAGACTTTTCAAAATAGTGGTAGGGTTTTTAAATAAAATGTTGTAACACTGCTACTGTTAAAGGGATACTGTAAATCTAAAGGTGCCACATTGATCCGATTTCTTGGCTTGGAAGTTGAAACAATGGGGGAACCTTCTGAAATACCCCCCCCCCCCCATCTATGTCTGCCCAGCAGTATGAATGGGTACTTCTCGCCTCTTTCAGAACGTCTGGCAGGCATGGAATAAAAGGCCTTTAGAAGGGCTCCCTCGAATGGAGGCCGTTCTACCAGCAGTGGGATGACTAAACAATTACAGGGCTGCACCTTTATTACTTAAGATTTGGAAAGTGAATTTATACATCTTGGGCTGGAACAGCCATCTTGCCTTGTGATTGCTTTGGGTGGTGTGTGATGATGCCATGACAAGACACATGTTTGTTTATGTTGACTCCCCTGACTGGAGGTAGTGTACATTAGGGGTTAATGTCGTTTGAAGTCAAATATTTCAGAAATTATGTTCAATCACTGTGAGAGTGTATTCATGTGTATAAACTTTGGAAACATAGGAATTACATGTTTTTTTTTTTACAATGATTGACAAATTTTGATGTGAGTTGCAATTAGAGGTGTTAAGAATTTCTGGCTGTATTATTTTGGGTGGTGTAAATTAAAACAGCCTTTCTTGAAAAAGTATCAATTCTATGTACATAAAAAAACTACATAGAATATACAGGATATACATTTCATTGGCATGTATGTATGTTGAACTTCTTTCACACCATATGTAGCCAACCGTGCGAATCTATCTGTTATATTATTTACTATTTAGGAAAGTCTCACTGCGTCACATGACTGCATTGCCAGGCATAGTGTGGCTGGCATGGGCTCTGCTGCAAGGAATTAAATGGGAGCCACTCGACATCATAACCACTGCATGACTATTTTTAAAAAAGCCCTGTATTTAGATGTTTGGCCAATTTCATTTTACGAGTGCTTAACATTTGAGGAAAAGCTGAAATGCACAGCAAGCTGTATAAGAGGGGATAATCCACAACGGTCCACACAGATGAGTCATACACCCAATTCCTGGACTGCAATATATTGGCCACTTTGCATCCCAGGGGGGGTTTTGAAGTTTCGCAAGTCTGCGTGATCCACCAACCCTTGCCTTCATAGCGCTGGATCACAGGCCAATGCCACCACACTCGCCTCACATGTAAACTCTTATTGTTTTGCTGAACTTACTCTTGGATACGAATGGGAAAAGTGACCGTGGCTTTGGCACCGGTACTAGATGAGAGCCCACTCGATTTAAATTCCGTCGATTTTTGGGATTGTTATGTTTCGTTGATCTTAATTGCTATGGCCAAAAGCCAATGTTAAGGTGATATTGTACAGTGCAGCATGACGTAGAGAACATAATAAGTGGCGTCACTAAAACAAATTTTCTCAGCTAAATTTGTTTCTTCCTCGTGTGGTCAGAGTAGACATCATTATGTTACTACAAAAAAGTCAACGCATCGATCAATTACATTGCCCACCTATGTGACTACGGCTCTCTCCGATGTGTTTTCGTGTTGCACCGCGTGATGTTCTGTACGGTGACGGACATTTTTGCTGCACGTGCTGGGAGCTGCATTTGGAACAAAGACGTTGGACATCATGCTGAACAGCAAGCGGGAGAGTCCGAAAACACATCGGAGAGCCGAGTGGCACAACCTCGAAACCCTACGCAGTGCCATGTAACTACATGCTACATTCCTCCTGTGAACCATTTGACTCATGGGTTGCTTCACATTTGCAGAATCGTATTATTAAGCTTCAATTTTTCATCCTTGACAATAGTGCTTGACCTCCGTGAACCATTTAAGAAATTCACGGTAATGTGTTTGCATTAAAACTCAGGCAAATTGGATCCACGCATTGAGTTTTATGTGAAGGTTTAGCAATTGCAGCGTACTTGTAGACTCAGCGTATGCCTCGTGATTTCATTCTCATGTTGTTCTACATTGTACAGCAAGTCTTTGCAAATGACAATTTCAGCCATGGAAACGAATGACTGTGCTTTCTCTCTATGAACAAATGGTGTTTGCTGTGGTAAGGAAAATTACAGTTTAAGGATGATTATAATTACATTAACTGGCATGAAGCGTAATTATCAAGAATCTGCATTCCCAACTCCGTTATGTGCACACCACACTTTTTTTCAATTTAAGGTCTAGATTTACATTTACCATTCGCTGCACTTTTCACAAGCTCGTCTTTGATCATCGTGAGACATTCTGTACATCATTTTCGACTCAGTCCATGTATCGGTATATCAGTACCTTTGATATGGCAGACAGCGTAATGATGGTAAGGAATTAATAATCATCTTGTAGTAATAATACATTCTTACCAGAATGTTTAAACCGCACACTGTAGTAAATTGCGTGTGATGGTCCAGATGTGTGTATTGAATGGAATGTGTGGTATCCCACGCAGGGCTCTGTGCACTGTGACATCCACTCTTTGTGCAATTTGATGAATAACTCTGTGCCTGCTAACCTGAGGTGGGAAATCAATATGGTCGCACTCGCTTGTTGGTTAGCATGTAAACACACTGGAAAATTTAACCCTGCATAAGCCTTGTCAAGATCTATCATAATTTCAAGAAAATTGGTTTTGGACCCTTAGTGAAGTCCTATGCGATAACATTTTTAATTTATGAACGCATGCATTATTTAATCACCATTGTTAGTTTGATATCCCTTAAATGTGTTACTAACTAGACAATGTGCTTGCACAGCAGCAGATAAAACCAGTTAAACTACCCCAGACATGTTTTTGTAACTTCAAAACAATGCAGCCTCACACGAAAGGATATACTTTACTTTGGATATTTAA